GGGGGGGGGAGAGAGAGAGAGAGTGAGAGAGATAGAGAAGGGGGGAGAGACAGACAGACAGACAGACAGACAGAGAAAAGAGAGAGAGAGTATGTGTGTATAGTGTCTGTGTGTTAGTAGATAGCTGTTTAAAGTGTGGTTTACATCTTTTACTACATGTAGTATGTCCTGTTAACTGGGTTCAATCCACTTTTTAAAGTCTGTTTTTCCGTTCAATGTTATATTTCTCAATTTTACGTTCTCTCAGGTTTGCTCTTTGGTAGCGGAGAGTCGTGGCAGAAGAACAAGAGAGCCTTCATGAAAGCCCTTCACACCAGCACATTCCTGCAGAACATGGAAGGCTCCGTCCAATCAGAGATCACCATAGCCACAGATAGTCTTCAGAATGAGTGTGATAAACCAATGAAAATCGGCGACATAATGCTGCCGGCATGCACCAACGCCATCGTGGGCCTCTTATTGGGTGGCTCCCTTCCACGTGACTGCCCAGAACGGAAGGAGCTTTTGAAAGTGGCGCGAAGCCTTGAGGGCGCTGATCTCCGCTCAATTCTGACACAGATCTCGCTCAAACATCCAAAGTGAGTGAAATATTCAATAAAAGTAAAGTATCACACATGTGTCTATGGTGTAGTGGTTATCACTTCGCTGTTGCATGCAGAAAACCTGAGTTTGAATCCCGAGTGGGGACAAAATTTTGTATTGAGTATCTCGGACATCCTGCTGAGAGTTTTTAATTATTTATTTTTGGTTTGTTTTTGTTGCTATCTTACTGTTACTGTTATCTGGCAGTATTCAATGTGTAACTGCTGCCATATTGTTATTTTCATTTTATAGTCAAAACTCAATTTGGGTGGCTGGAGGGTGCTACTGGTAAGTTCTCCTTATATTTCTCTCTCTCTCTCTCTCTCTCTCTCTCTCTCTCTCTCTCTCTCTCTCTCTTACTTTTTTGTCTGTACTAAATGACATTTAGTTGGTTGTTGATGTGCTTCTCTTTCCTCACCCGCATAAAAACCTCAATTTTTTTATCTTCCCCGTTTTCAGACTCCGCGAGCCACTTTCTAAACTGCTCTTCAAAGACATCGTGGACGTCCACGGGAACTCTCGCCGCCTGCAGAGACTTCTCCGCCAGTGGATCCGCCAGACCCGCAGCGGCACCATGACCCCGTCCCACGTCCCATTCCACGCAATCGTCAGCGTACCAGACGACAACAAAGCCGACGGCCCACACGCCAAATGCCCACGCCTCGTCATGCCCAAACAACAACAAGACAACGAGGAAAACATTGCTGAACAGTCTAGTCTGAGTCAGAATCTCGAACAATCGAAGTTGTACCCGTCAGCGGAATGCCTCCTGACGCCCCCTAGTGACGACAGTGTCATCGAGGAGGCCATGAGAAGCGCCTCCCACCTCGCAGTGTTTGGGTTCCCGGGCACGGCCAAGGGAGAAATGCCTTTTGAAGCACCAGCAGTTGTGGAAGCAGCGCGCCCTGAAACTCCGCTCACCGAGTTCCAGTGGACGTTCTCGAGGCAGATGTCGGTGAACCCTCAGCAAGATTCCATACTGAAGCGCATCTTGAACCAGCCTGAGTTCCTTCACTTGACAGAAGAAAATGGTAAGGACATTCTGCAACAGCAGCAAACCAGTGTCTGTAATGTAGCGGTTAGGTGCTTTGCTGTCGTGCAAAGAAGATCCGAGTTCGATTCCAGAGAGAGGAGAATTTTGATTGAGTATCTCGGTCTTTCTGTCGGGGTGTTGTGTCCCTCTTATCCCGGGTTGATCCCGAAAGGCAGGATCGAAACCCGCCTCCTAAATTATTTAAATTGTGTCAATGGGGGCTTTAAAAAATTCTACATTATTTTTGTTTATACAACCAGCACTTGATATGGCTTGCGTTCTGTAACAATTGACGTCATTGGTTGTGTAAAAACCCTAGCACATATCCTCAGAGATTCTTTTCTTTGACTTTTCATTCGTCTTTGGCAACAACTCAGAGCAAACAGACATAAAACTTCATTTACATGTACATGTATATATCAATACACGCTCCTAACCAAAAGCGCCCAAATAACTTATGATCTTTCCTGACTTTTGCAGATGAAGAACTGCTCCAATCCCTCATCGACCTTTTCTTCGGCGGTATCACCAGCACCTTGTCCGCCCTGGAGTTCACCCTCAGTTACCTCACACAGAACCCGCTCATGCAGGAGCACGCGCAGAAGGAGATAGACCGGGTACTGGCGGGAAAACCAGGCGGCCAGGTCACGTGGTCGGATCGGGAGAATATGCCGTATGTCCACGCGTGTATCGTGGAGGCTTTGCGTCTTGGGGCAGTCACTCCTTCCTCGCTGCCACATGTTGCTAAGGATGACACTGAGGTAAGCACACAGATATTTTTAATAGCATAGTTTCTTTATTATCAAACATATATCGTCCTTGTCTGCTCTCCTCCTTATCATCTTTGTAAATTACTGCCATGTAACACTCCAATCTTCAGCACTTATCTTAAATGAACTACATGTATTTGAGTTGCAAGTGCCATAAAACTCGAACTAAAACTAAACAGATATTACCATACTTCTTTCTTCGAGTCAAGAGGAGTACTATACGTGAACACAATGATGGGCATGTCATGCAGGGGAAAAGACAGACAGAAACAATAGAGGGGAGGTAAAAATAGGACTTACCAGTGGCACCCCCCAGCGCCAACTAGTTACTCGTATTATACATCACAAAGTAAAGAACAGAAGTGTTTGGTACATTGAAAGTGAAAGCGGTGTAATTACTTTTTACTTATTTTGATATTCCGAATTAGCTTAGTTCCTAACCTCTCCACTACCGTTTCGTCCCGCACAGATCGAGGGCTACTTTGTGCAGAAAGGCACAATGGTTCTGGCTGGCATCTACAGTCTCCATTACGACCCCGTTTATTACCTTGACCCCGAGGCGTTCAGACCGCAGCGCCACCTGGACACTGATGGCAAGTTCAAGGCGCCCGAAAGTTACCGGCCATATGGCGTGGGTAAGTTGCAATACTTCTTTTGATTTGAATGTTGAAAGGGGGCTGTGGGAGGGGGGGTTGTGTTGTGTCGGTAGTGATGAGAAACATATATACTAAAACTCAAGCAAACAAACAAATAAACAAACAAACAATTGACGGACTCGAGTGAAAAACAGGAAAAGTCCATTAATAGAAAAAATATGTTGCCATGACACCTCCCCACCCCAAAAAAATAAAAATCCAACCCAACCCGATCCATAAGGTTTCCTACAACAAAAGGGTAAAAAAAGAATAGTGGTTGAACCTAACACAAATCATTCAAGAAGAGAAAAGTTAACATTCATTGTATGCCATTTTGGGTTGTTGTTGTTTTTTTTGTAGTTTTTTTTTTTTTTTAGATAACAAGTAAATTTGTGTGTTTTGGGGATAGAAAGAAAATAAAACATCGCTTAATTATACTCTATCAATCTTGCTGTAATTGTGAGGACACTTACACAAGTACGTGGGAATTTCTATCTGGCCAAAGCCACCGCAAGATTCACTGACGTCATTAATTAATTGTTGTCCCTTTTTTTCTTTTCTTTCCAGGCGCCCGTCGATGTGTGGGTGACAAAATGGCGGAGATGCAGCTGTTTCTGTACACGGCCAGCATCCTGAGAAACTTCTCGCTGAAGCCACTTCCGGGCAAGAAGGGAACATCTATGGAGACGCACATGAGAATTGTTCACAGGCTCAAAGATTTCAAGTGCATTCTGCACCGAAGGAACCTCACTTCTGAATAATTCTTCTCTTTCAAAAATTTCCTGTTTTCCTTTATAATTTATTATTATTATGATGATGATGATGATGATGATGATGATGATGATGATGATGATGATGATGATGATGATGATGATGATGAGACAGAATGTTTTACTGCAGGAAGGTCCGAGAAGTAACGTCCCACAAGTTGAAAGCTAAGAAGAAGAATGTATTATTATGTTTTTCTTCGACTTTTTCATTTTCTTTTTTTTTTTTTTGGTTCCCTCAGCAATTATGTCATTCGGACTTTTTTTTCGTATTTTTACTACCTGAACTTTGTATTTTTGTTGTTTGGATCATTTCATTTTTCTTTCAATCCACATTTCGTATTGAATCTCCTCAATTGCGACGTTGAAGTATGTGCAATAGCTTCATTTCTTTTCTCTCCTTTCTTTATATCTGTATGTTTACAAATGTAAATGTTTTGTATGTAAATGTGTGCATTTCTTTTGAATACATCATGTACAAACTTTCACACGTTCATAAAGATATAAAAGAATGTGGACTACATAACAGTGGTGTCGGTGTATTGAATTGTCATGTTTTATGGATGGTTTACGTAACAATACAAGTACGTTTTCAAGAGAGTTTATTGTAAAAACTACTACAATTCCATTTCCACCCTACTAATACATGTCAAATCTCAAGCAGGGATGCATCAGAATAATGTAATTCAATACTCAGCCAATCAAAAGAAGACGGTCACCGTCCCTTTATGGATCTTTCTTCTCACTGGTTACTTTTTGGTAGTCATTCTCCTTGAGATTTGACATGTTCTTTCATCTTTTGAGCCACGATTTCATAGGTACAATCACGATGTTCAGTTTGTCTCCTGGTTGGAGTGAAGTGTTTCTTAAGCACAACATGTTTGTTTTTAAAAAAATAGATGTGCTTTTTCTTCCATCAATTTTTTATTTTGATTCTCAGAGATGAGGAGATTTTTGTAGATATGTACATGTAAATAAATATTTTCTAGTTCTTTTAATATTGTCTGTGTTGAATTATTTCAACTTGTCTTCAAATTATTGACAAAGCGCACAATGCTTTAGATTATCTGTGGCAAAACGATTTTTGAATATCACGAGAGTCCTTTTTTATACCCTTACAAATATGAGGGATTAACATGAAAAAGATGGGAATATTTTAATGTCATCTATTATATATTCTCTTTTTACTCTTAAGATTTTCAGCAGATACAACAGAAAAATGCATTTCTGCATACACTGCTTGCCTATTGTTCTAGCATTGTTTTTTGGTTGTATTTTTTCAACTGCCTGGATGAAGTTGTACAGATCTCTAGGTATTCTGTGAATGAATCAGGGTTACATTGCACTTTGAATTACTTCCTGGTCATACCCTAGATTATGCTAATGTTTTGTGACCGTTTTTCAATTCGTTTTTTAAATTATTTCTTCCCCACTGAAGACATTTGCTCTTGAAATGGCATAATATAATTTTAATCAATTCAGGAATATGACGTCATTGCCTAAATTATAAATCTTTATTTGTTCTATTTACTGTACTATTTTATGACCAAGTTTTTCAATGATCTGTACTTTTATACATGATGTAATTATATTTATTTTGTGAATATTGTTGCCTGAACAAGCATTCAAATGACTGCTTTCTTTTATTTGTTGAACATGCTGAAATAAAACTAAATACTTCCAATTCTGTTGTTCTTTTTAAAGATATATTGTGGATAAAATAGTTTAATTTCTTTACAATGTATCTAGTTTGAATCGAGATTGGATCTTGACTATCTGATTTCTTGGGTCATCTTATAGAAAGGATGTGAAAGAATAAGATGACTTCTGACAGTAAGACAACACAAACAGAATGAGACTTCTCCACATAATATACACCTCTTGAGAAGGCTTCTTTTGGAATAGGATAGGGGCGTAAAAATGCCCCCATTGACTCAATTAAGGTAATTTAGAAGACGTGCTTCAACCCTGCCTGTCAGGCCCAACCCAGGCTGAGAGGGATACAGACAACATTGCGAACTTGATAACAATTTCCCCCACTCAAGAATCGAACTCGGGTATCCAAAGTGCGACAACGAAGCATTATTTACTACACCACTCACCACAGATGCTGGTTTTGAGACTCTGTTGTAAGACACAAAAACCACACAAATTAAAGTTAACCCTATCCGTACGTCGTGTTTTACTATCGTATCCATACGACGTGGGGAACTCTGTCACAGTCTGTGCCACCACTTTCCAAAGAGGAAATTTACTCGTTAATCCGATCCGTACTTTGCATAGCAGTCTGTAAAAATGATTTCTTGAAAAATACTGAAAGTTTCAAAGAGATCTTCGTACTAGAAGTATTGTAAAATGTGAAGAATACAACCCAGGGGTACAAAATGACCCCAGGGCGTATGGATAGGGTTATAAAAGCAAAATTTCTCCAGAAACAAAAAAGCTTTTTTGAAGCGATCTCATGCTGTTGCCAGTGGGTAGAATGCTTTACCTCCTCTTAGAGTCTAACCAGAGGAAAAAGGTCAGTTCACTGTAATTATTAAATATAAAATACAGTCGACTGTGGATGAACTGATGTCATCAGGGAGTGAAAAATAGATCCACTCATCCGAAGTTCAACTTAAACGATAGGACCTGTAAAGAAGAAGAGCTGGGACCCGAGAAAAAGATCGGCTCAACCGAAGATCAACTCAAGCGAGTTCAACATAAACGGAATCCACTACTGTACATTACTAAACTATTTTCAGCTCATGCCCACTCCGTCCTGATTTCTACTGAGGACCTGCAGATCTACATCGCCAATGGTTTTAAAGGACAAAAAAACTGCCTTATATGTGAGGCATCACAGTAGAATCAGGCGCTCGTCAATTTTGGGGCATGTAGAGTTTTTGGTATCCCCTTCAAGCTTATTCATTTGCATTGCTTTTGATGAAAGAATTACCCATTTATCTTGAGTACATGTTGAGATATTTGCCATTGAATGAGATGGGGTCGCCTGGATTCAGAGGTAAAATTAGTGAGAAAATGTCTGTCAAAGATTGGTTATTTACAAAGCCTCAGAGTCCATGGAAACTGACAATTTACGCTATTTATGCCTTTAATCAACGTTTTTCAATATAATTCACACTGAAATCGGTTCTTAAATGGACATACAAGGTGTTGAGCTATAAAACACAATTTTGATCAAAATTGCCAAACCAGCGGAAAAGTGTAAGTTTCTTTCCTTTCATTATTTTGACGACTGCCTGATTTCACCCCGCTGCTTTATATAATATCTTTTAGTTACAGGTTTAGGGCATAAAACTGCCGATATCTTTGGACTAAAAGGTGAAAGACCAAAGGTTGCTGCACAACTGGCACAAAAAACTTTTTTTAACGAAAACAAAATGCACACACAAAATTTACAAAAACAATACAAAAAGACCAGTTTCACTTCTCTCCTCTCACCTCCTCATTTTTATTTCAATCAACAGTCTAATTTCATAAATGTGCACATTTATCTACCTCACAAAACTAAAAAAAGTTTGTTTTTCTTGAAAAACCACACACACACACACACACACAACATAAAAAGTCCAATTTTACTTTTCTTCTTTCATCTCCTCTACACGTTTTACTGTTATCAGTAGTAGCATAAAAAAAAAAAAAATTTACATGTTACATCCATCAGGCAAAGTCGCTCACCGAGATCTAACCACAATCATACTTCTCCATTTTCAAGTCCAGCTCTCCTATCACATTACCACAGCCATAAAGGATCCATTGATTTTTATGATACACATGTACATTAACGCTACATTCTTTACAATGAAATGTACAACATTTTTGGAAAACTCATGATCAATTTATGCTGGTTCTTTGTACAGTGGGCAGGCTACATGCACATCAAATGAGAGATGTAAATTAATGTGAAAATGAATGTTTGGATAGATGATTCTTGGTGCAACAACAACTACTGAAAGAAATATATACCAGTCAAGAGACATGAAAAATAAAACAATGACAGAGGCGTCATTCAGAATAAAATAGAAGTCTTCTAAAACAACATAGTCCTACGTTACCTTGAGGAAACTGGTTAATATTTATTTGCTTGTGGATCAAATGATCTAATTTCAATAAGAGCGATTCAGGCAGAGAAGAGTGCTATAATTTTAGGTGGGTCCAAAAAAAAATTAGTATTCGTAGGTCATTTTGTCAACAACAAAAATAAAACATTGTGTAACCGGGAGATTGGTAAAGCATTAATAAGTGGCATAATTTCCAACAAAAGGCTTCGAATTGCCCATAGCTGTCTTCCATCGGGGAAAAAAAAATTCGGCAGAACCCAGGCAAGTACAACCTCTTATTCTTATTCTTGAACGACCTGACCCGTACAGCAGAACCTGGACCCGTCCATAACGGTCACTCAAGTCACAGAGTCAGAGAAAAGTGACCATTACAGACAAGTCACCGCTTTGGTCAGGGCCTGAGCTGTGGTGACCTCAACACTTGACAAAGTCAACAGATGGTTTAACACTTGGCCGTCACATCTCGCCAATTGGCAAGAACGCCGGACATCTGATCTCGTCATAAGACGCCGATCGGCGATGTTCACCAGCCAGTTTCTTTGGATTTCCCCCAAAATGCTTGTGATGGCAAGGGTTTTTACTAAATGAGCCTTGTGATGGCAAAGTAATGAAATCTGAAATAGGCCTATTAATTTTACCTTTGCATTTCATGTACAACAGAATTGTTTCTTATCATTAGAAAGAGCTTATTTGTGTTGATTGAATGTACACACTTAGTCTAAGGACAAGCTGGAAGAAAGCTTAAGCAGCAAGTGACCGCTGCTATCTGCAGGTTTTGAGGCTCATTTGCTGCAAAATGACCAACCATGGCCACATTGGATAGGGACCACAGTGGACAGGTTGAAAATATTTTTTAAAATATGAGGGTAACAGAGAACAGTGGCTTTTGTTACAGGTGACCGATACGGCAGGTTCTACAATATTATATATACTGAAAGTTGACAGCTCGGCAATGAATATTTTTCCTTTAAAAAAAATTTATCTTCAGAGAAAACGAGATGACCGTCCAATAACCTACAACTGGTATGATAGACAAACAATCTTGTGAGGTAAAAAAACAACACATACACAACACACATGTAAGTACGTAGAGAAACATAGAATCATAACTGAAACGAGCCGCGCAGAAATTTCCTCATGGTGAGTCCCACAGAGTTGGGTGATGGTCCTGTGGTCTGGTGGTAGATCTGAGGACCATAGAAACAAACACTCAGGCATTTAAAAAAAACATATGGATAAAATCATTAGAATTTTTGTACAGCGCCTAGAGTTGTATTCGTACTGGGAAATGGGGGGGGGGGGGTGTTTATGTTAGGGCCCTATAAAGGTAATCTACATTATCATTCTAGAAAAGTGATTAAAAAAAACCAAATAGACCTGACATAAAGAGCGTCTTGAATGAACAAGTAAAGACAAGAATAATATCATATATTCTTAATCAAATGTTCTTAATCATGGATGACAAAATATTCTTTAAACAGACTCAGTTTCCCTTAGTTGGAGGCCTGTTCGGTTTTTTTTTAGTACAGAGAGATACATGGACACAATAACAGCCATTCAGTTTATTTGTTTGAGTAAAGAGAAGCACATCCACACAATAAACGTCATTTATTAGAGTTGAGAAAAAGTAAGACTGACAGACAAGAACAACAAGGTGAAAGTAAACAAGTAGGACCTTCCACTGGTGCCCTCCAACCACCTGCACAGCCATTCAGAGCAGAGTAAAAGTAAGGCAGATGGACAGAACCAACATAGGACAAGAAAAGAAGAAGCAGGACTAACCCGTGGAACCCTCAAACCACCCATGAAAAATATAACATTTTCACCAACATTTTCACCGAAAACTGGTAAAACAAAGTGATAGAGGTGTGTCGTACACGTGTAAAGATACAGAAAATCCATGTTACGTCCCTATGTACCCCTCCGAACGTATATATATATATATATATATATATATATACAAACAATAGCCACAGCAGGTGGAGGCAATAAAAAGTATGAAGGGGAATTTTCTTTAATGTGGTGGCTTTCCGATAAGACAGACGGACAGATACATTACTAGAGGAAGAAAGCGAGAAAGAGAGATACACAGACAGAAAGGCAAAATTATAATTCAAAGAGACACACAGATGGAGAGAGAGAGAGAGAGAGAGAGAGAGAGAGAGAGAGAGAGAGAGAGAGAGAAAGTCACAAAAATAATCACAGAAAGAGACAGGCAAGGAGAGACAGGCAAAGAGAGACAGACAGACAGAAAGACTGTAGGACAAATATCTTATTCAAAGAGACACACACTGACAGATAAACAGAGAGAGACACAATACAAATATAATCATTAAAAAAGCGACAGACAGACAAACAGACAGACAGATAGACAGACAGACAAACCGACCAGCCAACTGACCAACCGACCAACAGACAGACAGACAGACAGACAGACAAACCGACCAGCCAACTGACCAACCAACCGACAGACAGACAGACAGACAGACAGACAGACAGACAGAGAGAGACAAACAGACAGACAGACAGACAGACCGACCGCCTGACCAACAGACAGACAGACAGACAGACAAACCGACCAGCCGACTGACCGACCAACCAGACAGACAGACAGACAGACAGACAGACAGACAAACAGACAGACAGACAGACAGACAGACAAACAGACAGACAGACAGACAGACAGACTGACAGACAGACTGACACACATACCCTGAACAGATAAGGCTGAATGTCGGAGAAGCTGGTGTCGAAGACCGTATCCTCCTCCTCCCTCACGGGCACACGTGGCACAAACTCGTGGCGGTTGATGATGTCGATGATGCTGAACACTTTCTCCGACATCTGCTCCGTCAGTTTGGCCTTGAACTCCAGCCGCTCTGATTTTAAAAAACACCAATTGCAATACGCAGTGAGAAAAGTTTGTAGTGAACATCAAAACTGACACCGAGCGCGCTCATGTGACCTTAGCAGTTGCGAGCGCCGTAAAACCCTATACTACATACATACAAACTGACACCGAATACATCATGTGAAAGCCATGACTAGGATTGGTTGTTTGTTTGTTTTTTGCTTTTTAGTTTTTGCTTCTGTCCGAGATTTTTTCAGAGCGATGATGTCAGTCTTGCTTGTGTTTGAACCAAACGGTCTGAACTGGGCAAAGTTATTGTCCAGTATGCACGTAGGAAGGTTTTAATTCGAAATGAGAGTGATGGGTAGTTTAGCAAGTATTAAATATGTTCTTTAGTTTTAGTTTTAGTAAGAGTTTCACGGCACTTGCAACACAATAAGGTCATATAAGTGCCGAAGATTAGAGAGGTGTTACAAGAGAGTAACAAATACAAAAAAGAAGAAGGGTAGATAAAGACGATAGATGTTTGATAGGAAAGAAGGAGCAAACCACACCAGAGCACCCGCCAACCACCCACATGGTCTGCACTTGGAAATATTTTTTAATCATTCATCCAATTCATCCTTCTCTTTCGAAGTGGTGAGTACATCTACACTATAAAACAGTTAACAATCTATACTAATGGATATATAATATATATATATATATATATGTGTGTGTCACAACATGGCGGAAGCAGGCGCTCGTCAATATTCGAGGATGTGGAGTTTTTGGTATTATCTGAAAGCTTATTCATGTGCCTTGCTTTCTATGAAAAAAACACCCGTTTAACTTGAATAACAGTCGAAATATTTGCGATTGAAGTGTTTATAAATATATCAACTTCGGCGGCCATTTCCTCGCTAATTTTACCTCTCAAACCAGGCGACCCCCACCTCCTTCAATCGTCAATATCTTGACTTGTACAAAAGATAAATGGGTATTTTTTCCATTGAAAGCAAGGCAAATGAACAGGCTTTAGGACAATAGCAATAACTCCATATGTCCCAAAATTGACGAGCGCCTGATTCCGCAGCGTCGTGACACATTTGTACTCACCGTTCTCGTTGCTGAGGTTGGTCACATCCAGTTTGATGGTCCAGACCTCCCAGGGGGAGTTGTCCGCCTGGAACAGCCAGCGGGTCTTGTGCTTCCTGTAGAACTCCAGAGAAATCTGGGGAGAGATACGAACACAAAATGAAATGAGCCTATGTTTACATAGTACAGAACTTTGAGAGAGTGGCTGGTGGGTGCTCAGGTGTGGTTTGATCCTGCATTCCAATGAAACATCTATGTTCATTATCTCTCCTACTTTTTTTCTTTTTATGATGTGACTCTCTAGTAATACCTCAATTCTTTGGCAGTTATATGACCTAAGAGTGTTGAAAGTGCCGTAAAGTTCTCATTAAAACTAAATTTAAACTGAACTTTGTACATTGTATCTTATTCATATAAACTATCTATAGCTTGTGCAGTCAAATCATATCACTCATACTTTGATACTCCTTTGTAAAAAGAAACGGTTTAAATGAACACAAAGATGCAGATCACTACTCATGGCAACACACACACACAAACACACACACACACACACAACACGCACACACAGATGAGTAGTCAGTGGATGGACGTACAAAACAATATTCTCACTCACACACCTGACAATGATTGAATAACTCCTATTGATGATGGTATGAATAAATCTTTACGCCTGTTGATTCTTGCTTTTTACAAAAATAAAAACGTTTACTTCTCACAAATGGCTGATATTCTGATAATAACTCCTATTGATGATGGTATGAATAAACCTTTATACCTATTGTTACTTGTTCCTTTAAAAATGAAACGTTTTTCTTCTCACAAATGGCTGATATTCTGAATTATATTGGTGTTTGGTGTCGGTAATGGTCTCCCATGCTGCTTTCACAATATTGATGTTGTATAAGTCGGTGAAAGAAGTAAGTTTACCTGTCCGGAGTGCTGGCCCTCGCTGGACCTCAGCATGTCCCTGAACTGGGCCACCTCTTTCTTCAGGTACGTGTCCAGCTCGGGACTCACCAGCTTCACCTGAGAAACAGATTGTCGTGATGAAATCAGGCACTCGTCAAAATCATTGAAATCAAAGAAACTGGCATTTTTCTTGCCACTGGGCAGTTGGGTTGTTGTTTTTTATATAATTTTTTTTTTTTTGCTCAACGTCTCTTATGTCCATTTAATGACACATTCCTGCATGGATCTCACTGAAAAATGTTGATCAAAGGCACACAAAATTTAAATTAGCAGGTTCAAATGACTCTCAAGCCTTGGAAGTCACGAAACTTTAGCTGTCATTTTCTTGTTAATTTTACCTCTAACACCAGGTCACCCCCAGCTCCTTCAATCACAAATACTTCCATTTTTCTTTTCATCAAACACTAGACAAATGTTCAAACTTCACATCATACTTGAAGTCCGGTATCTATCATATACTAGACCATCCTGCTCAGTTCTTCTGTTGGCCCCTATACCTTGTGCTGCCTAACACTTTTTTATCATCCAGCCTAGATATTGTCAAACTTACTGACTCTAGCAACCACCTGTTAAAGACAATCACCTGTACCAGCGACCACTTCCCATTGCCCCCTTCCCTCCCTTGCATTTTAAAAATATAACAAAGATACTGTTCAAGAGGACCACCTGTCTAAAATAACCACTTTCCACTTTTCTTCTTTCACAAGACAGTCACTGCAGTGGAACCCACAAGGAGCACGAGGCAGGGGTAGGCCACGGGAAACATGGAGGAGATGCGTGGAAAGGGACATGAGAGAAATGAAGCTCACTTGGAACGAGCTTGGAAGGATCGCTCAGGACAGAGATAAATGGAAGGAGCTTGCATGTGGCCTATTCCCTGCCAGGGGTGAAAGGCATTGATGATGATGATTACATTTCTTCTTGACAATGAGTGATTGGCCTAGACGGGGTCGGCTTTATTTTGACTGCCCATCACTTTGTTTTTACTATCCGACCAAGATATATCCTCTCATTCATTGATTTTACCATTACATCAGATGGAACAAAACAACAGCACTTTAGTCTGTTATTCCCAAAAGCAATTGCAATCTTCCATTCAAAACAGATCTCACTGGCTCAACAACATAGTTGATACCGACAGGGGATGAATGCCTTGAAAAAACTATCATAAACATAGCTCGAGGCTCTTAATTCCAGCAAGCAAAAAAAAAAAAAAACCCTTAGATTTTGGAGTATATACAGTAGAGTTCAAGTGCTGTTCAAATTACAAAAGAAAAATGAACAGGTAGGGACCCTTCTTAAGAGATTTCCACTCCTCCTATGCCAGAAATCCTCTCGTGTTTCGCAATATTTGCAACCTAACCAAGGGGGTGTAACTACAGGTATATTTGCAATAAAATGTCAGCAGCAATTATCTCCCCTGTTTTACTTGTACAAGATCTACACAACATACGTCTGCACATTATTTCACAAGTCCTTCCATAAAATCTGATTCCACTGTATTAGACAGATTAAAAAAACAACAACAACAAAAAACCCACTTTCAAAATGCAACAAACAAAACTTAAAATAACATGAAGTATCGAAACTTAAACACAAAACCTGGCTGCTTGTGAATAAAAAGAAGTATTTTGTCAATGATTATTTATAGAAAGTTTATTTATAGTGGTCTACATATCATCGCTGTTGCAAGCAATCCATTTAAGTCCACATTTTAAGAATTTTCTTTGTTTTTACAACCTTCCAAAGCTTTCAACATCACTAAAATGCAGTTCAATGCAATGGTAAAGGCTTACAATTTTTCTTGCACGACAAAAACCAGTTTTTTGTCTCCGGTGTAAAGAGTACCCAAACGAACTTAAGTGTATTGTTTGCAACACCGACGATCTGTTCCCATTCATGCCACAGGACTACCAGCAAGCTCTACAGGGAACTGAATGACTCGGCTACAGCAGTGATCTTGTGACAACACTGTACTTACATAAGAGAAATCCAAGAAATCGCAGTCCACATCTTGAACCTTCACATGACCGATGGTGAAGTTCTTCTCCTTGTTATAGATGTACTGCACAAAGAAAAGCATACAAAAATCAGTCTCTATTTTCAACCATTATAAACAAAACAATGTTAAAAACAATCAGGAAACCACAAATGCAGGTTTTGGGACACCTGAATAGACATAAGAGTCTTGAACATCCAGCTCTCACTGGCAAAATTGAGGGCAAACGAGGCAGGGCTAGGCCCAGAACAACATACTTAGGGAACCTAAACAAATGGGTAACAGGGAAAGATCAGGGAAACATAGCTTTTTTGAGAGCATCCGAGCAAAGGAATGAATGGAGAACCATGATCGCCGATGTCTGTCGCAGATCTGGGACTGGATGATGATGATGATGATGATGATGATGAACAAAACAAAATAATGATAATAATTCCATTTATAATAAAGCTCATCCATGCTAAACAGCAAGCTCTAAAGGCTTTTCAAGTATATATTAATACCCCTGCAGACCCTAGAGTACTCAGAAATATTCTCAGCTTTTTGAGAAGCATACAGACATCTAGCAGCAGGCCAAAAAAGCCTTTTCATCTTGTAAGCAGCACCTAAAATTTATTTCACAATTTTTCTGGCCTTATTTCATCATAAGTGAAAAAAATTCACAGACAAAAGGAAAGTGATGAAGAAGGAAACAATAATAGTCAATACCTAGCACAACTTCCCTTCCAAAACCTTAATCCTAACTTATATTAAGTATGGGTTTTATGACACTTGTAACATAAATAAGTCATAAGAATGCAAAAGATTAGAGGTGTTACAAGACTTTGACAGGAAAGAAGAATCAAACCACAACAGAGCACCAGTCAACCGCCCACAAAATTTTAACTCACATTCTTCTTTTGGTAGACAGAAAAGATCACTTTTATAACAATAGAGCACTTAAAGGCTAAATTCTTTCTCCATTTAGATTGCTGCCGCACTAGGAGGCTGGCCTCAAGGGTCAAATGAGCTGTCCGGGGAGGGGGAGCTGATCCCCAGGTCCATACAACTTCCCCTGCAGACTGAGGGGTGAGGGCCACAGTAATAACACTAAATGTGAGGCAGCGTTGTGAAATCAGGTGCTCATCAAAATAATGAAATTGAAGAAATTGGCATTTTTCTGCCAGTTTGGTCATCTTTATCAAATTTTTTATTTTGGGCTCAACACCATTGTTCTCCAATAAAGAACACATTTCTGGGTGTATTTTACTGAAAAACGTTAATTAATTAAAGACACAAAAAATGTTAGGTTTTCAGTTTCCACAGACTATCAAAGCTATGAAAATAACCAAAAACTTTGGCAGCCATTTTCTCGCTAACTCTACCTTTGAAACCATTCGACCCCACCTTCTTAAATCTTAAATATCTCGACTTCTATTCAAGATAGATGGGCATTTTTTCACCGATGGCAAGACAATTGAACAATAACTCCGCATGTCCAAAATTTGACGAGCGTCTCATTCCACCACGTCGTGACACAAATACAGTACAGCCCGGATAGGTCCAACACGGAAGACTCGCAATCACACATCCGTCTAACTGTGCTTGCAGTCCCGTTTCTTTTTCTTCTTTTCTTAGTAAGATATCCCTCGAACTACTGAGACTGGTCCCGACAAATTCGAGCTATCTGTGTTATTCTGAGTAAAATATATAATAATAATAAAAAATTACTCTTTTATTTGTCCTGGAAGGGCACTTTGGTTTACAATGGCAAACATACATTTACATACATAAATGTAAACTTTCTCAACACAAAGCACAACAAACTGACACCTAACCGGACTTTCTCTGATGTACCATCTCACCTTCCCCGTGGTCCTGTGAAGCAAAATGGTGTGGAAGAGACTGTGGATGACTTCCTCTATCTGCCGACCCTCCACAGTCTGGTGAGACAAACGACAAGACAAGCAACATTAGGTTTATTGAATATAGAGCAGAGCTGTCATGCTTGTGCCAGTCAGAATGGGAATGAATATTAGTAAGGTAAGATGAGATAAAATGAGATAAGATGGGATGAGATGAAATGAGATAAGATAAGATAAGACAATATAAGATAAGATAAGATAAGATAAATTGACGGCTAACTTGTTTGGTGTTTTACCACGTACACACACACACACACACACACACAAACATCACAATTGGTCGCTTTTAAGGAAAAGCGGGCTATCCGAAAAATGTTGTTTTGAGAAAACCGAAGTTAAAGTTTTTGGATTCTTATTCAGTCTCTTTAAAAGATAAGGAGAGCTTTCTCTATAACCAAAAAATATACACACCAATGAAACCAGACTTCTCCTATAGGTAGGGCAATGTCCAATTTTGGTGTAGGTAAAGATTTCTGGAAACCCCCGAAATATGGGAACCCGCTTGTCCTTAAAAGCGACCAATTCAGAAATTGCAAAAATTTGAGAGGGGCTGAGGGGTGTTTTAACTTAACCAAGCTCTCTATCTTAGCCTTTCACTACACCTCAAACTTCTTTCCTTTTAACTTCTTCTCTAAATTTTATTCCAGCTTTCACATTCCCTCTTTTTTATTAAATGTTCTCAGTCCATAGTTTCTGTTTCCCAGTCATTCTTTTTAAGCTTCACGGAAACTATGAGCACTCCTGTTATTTATTTTCAAATAACTTTGTCTTTTGGAATTTAAGTCTTTTTACGTACAGTTATTGGTAAAGTCATCTAAGACTCCATACCTCTCTATTTGTTACCAAGCCATAATTTAACTTTTTGAAGCTTCAAAGTGACAACCCGTGGAAATTAAACACTTATATTGAATATGTAATTTAAAAATCATGATCACACCCTGAAAATACTACTAATTTAAATTTAGTCTCCTTAAACAAAAGACAAAGAGTCAAATTGTAGTAGTATTATTTCTCTCCATCATCTCCACATACATCATCAATACTATTTGAATTCTTCTAATTAACATTATCATTATTAGGGACAGGCTTGCCTATTTTTTTACAGGCACACAGAAAGCAATAGTCACTCATATACATCGAAAAATTCAATTTTGGAGAAATAATAATAGGGAAAACAAATCAGATAAAAAGACAAGATAATCATACCAGCTCCATTACTTGAGACCGAGCATTCATCTTGGTTGCTTTTCAGTTCCGGCTGCGCGCGACTGAGAGGGTGGATGTGACTCAATGATGTCGTACTGGGTACTCCAGCTTTCAAACTGCTATCCCATATCACAAAAACTGATGGCAACTGAAACCATGAAAGAAAAGAAAAATATATGACGGGTAGCCAGTGAGATAACAATGACATAGCCTAGTCGAATCTGTATCATGCCGCAGCAAACACAAGCTTAAGTCAAAGCCACAAAGAAAGGACCCTGGCCTGAGGAAAAGTATTATACAGCATCAATCACCCGCCCTTTTAATTCAAAATATCAACTCTCAGTCTTACCATGCAATGTTCTCCACTTATTAAATCATCAACTTTTTTGGGGGGAGGGGGGGGGGGGGGGGGACAAAAACTGGCTGGACAAGAACAAAGAAGCAGAGTACATTACTATAAGAATGGAGAAATGAACTTTCAGTTGTCAAAGTTAGTCCTTAGCGATTAGTCAAACTTGGTCATTTTCAGTTTCATAGGGTTTCGCACATAGGCCCAGCAGGGTTTTTTGGTTTATATTCTAAGCAACTTTTTTTTACTCAAACTCAAATGACAAAAATGACATTATAATTTAATGATTTTATTGAGACAGCCAGGCGCTCGTCAAAATAATGAAATAGAAGAAAACGACATGATTCTTCCCATTTGGAAAATTTTAAGGAATCTCATTTTTTTGCTCAAAAACACCTTTTATGTCCATTTAAAACAATGCTATGTGTGGCTTTTTCTCAAAATTGTTGATTAAAGGCACACCAAAAACTGAAATTTACAGAGTTTCCAATGACTCTCAAGCTTTGGAAGTCGCCAAACTTGGACGTCCATTTTCTCTCTAATTTTACTTCTGAAAACAAGTGACCCCAATAGCTTCAATTCGAAATATCGCGACTTCTATTCAAGACAGAAGAAGGATAATTTTTTCATTGAAAGCCAGACAAATGAACAAGATTTAAGATGATACTGATAACTCCATATATATATATGCCCCAAAACTGATGAGTGTCTGATTCCACCGCGTCGTGACACATATATAATTATACAGGCCTAGAAGAGTTACCCCTCGCAAATCAATTATTTTCAAGACAATTTCAAATCTAATTGTAAAATATCAAATTATGGGTAATTATGCCCCCCTGTAACCCCCCAGATTTTCTTTTACCCCATTGGGGCAGGCCCCCCTGGAACCCCCCGATTGGTCCAAAGCATGTCGATCTCGGTTAAAAACAATCAAATATTTCAAAAACTATTAACCCTCATTCTGCGGGAGCCGGGTTTATGTAGCCCGATAAGCCTATTTCGGCACCTCGCCTGCGTTCTGGTCCCGAGTCAGTGTAGCTCCTGGCTCAGCGCACGCGCATCCTCTTACGTGTCATTCGGGTCCCGAGTCGGATCCCCATTCACGCAGGTCAAGTGTGTGTGCGTCAGTCTGCATGAGTTTGTGTGCGTTTGTGGCCTTCTTCTAGAACCACCTGCGTTGGTTCCTAATCGAGGCATACGTCTCATTCAAAACATGCCAAGTTGATAGCTCTAGATGTTTGTCCAATGAAATTATAGAAGAAATTGACCCACTTAGACATGAGGAGCTCGAAAGGATAGTCAGGAAACAAGACTTCCATTTTTCTATACAAAATATTTCAAATGAGCTTGATTTTGTATGAAATGATACTACCTGATAAATAATGAGCTTGTTTAATAGTTTTGAATACCCTTGTGCAGGTACAAAGAACAATTTGAGTGTAAAACATTCGGAAATTGACCTAAATTATCCCTTTTCGAACCTCAGGTCATTCATAACAACAAGAGCGTCCAGAAAGGTTATTCAAATGGGCGTAACTACTCGTAATGTCTTATCAGCTTGTGAGAGGGGGTTATTCATGTGTTTGTAACACTTTATTATAAATAGAATGCTATGAAGGATAGAGCGTTTTTTTCATCATCAAGATCAGTTAACACACTCCCGCGGTATTCATGGCCAAAACACACGTTTCCCGGCGCGCGCGCTGTACACCAACAGTACACACTGAGTGACCCCGGCGGCCTGCCCGGCGAGTCCGACGTAATCGGTTGCTGATAAGATACGCATCTGGGCACAGACGCAGGATAAGAAGACTATAAGAGTTAATTTGCGACGGAAATGAAGTTGATATTCGTGTTCAGCGCATCAATATTTAGTAGAATTTAGACAACTGGTAGCTGAGTGTGAGACGGGAGGGAAAGTAAAAAAAATACCAAATCTAGAGTCCAGATTAGATTCCTAGATGTAGACATGTCAATATCAACAATGATCAATCATTGAAATTCATCTAAAAATAAAAATCTATCGATATTTCGACAGTCAAAAGATGAGGCCCTGCGTGTCTAGCAACAGAATCGAGACTAGAACTACACTAAAGATTCGTGTCCCGCGTTTGACGAACAAAACGATCTTACCTTGAGAAACTTCAAACCGATTATAAACAAGGCGAAAAAATAACGCACTAATCTGTCATCACAGTCATTTTCTTTGTTGATCTCGACCGATTTTCATCGTGAGATTTATTTATGTTATGATTCCGTGGTTTCCGTTTCCGGTAAAACTCAACCTCTGAACTTTGAACCCAGAATAAGTTGCTTTATTCGGTGAAGAGTCAAATTGGACACCCACGTTTCCAACTACCGCTTCGGAGTTCGATTCATTCTTATCGAATCCTCAGTGCGGAGTTTTGTTTCAATTTGTTGAGAATTGCCTTCACAATATGGTTCCCTATTCTCTTCATAGCATTAATTTGGACATAATTTGCAGCTACAATGTCGTCACATGACAACTTGACACTCACATAATCCATAACGACAATCAACGTGCAGCAAAAATACAACAATATACGTAAAATACATGTATAATAATATAAATTTAGTGAGAGGGATAGGCCTACAACATTCCAGAAGAAAGACCAGGTTGCTCCATATAATTCTCCTCACGTACACGGAAATCAAATTCGGGTCTGCTACAACACATATGTGTGCTCGTTGTTTGTGTGTGTGTGTGTGTGTGTGTGTGCTCGTTGTTTGTGTGTGTGTATGTGTGTGTGTGTGTGTGTGTGTGTGTGTGTGTGTGTGTGCGCGAGAGTGGGTGTGTGCGAAAGTGGGTGTGTGCGCGTGTGTGTGCAGTGTTGTGTAATGTCCTAAAACTGAACACATATTTTATCAGTTTGTATTAGTTTATTGAGAGAGGAGCAGAGAGAGAGAGAGAGAGAGAGAGA